TCTCCCCAGTTTCCTAGCTCACACCTCAGCAATTTCATTTGGTTGTCCAAAAGCCAAGGTTCAGTCTCTTCGCCCTCAGGCTGAGGTTGTCCCAGTTTCTGCAAATGACTCCGTCTCTATCATGGGTATCACCGAGTCACATTTTCCTACCCATTAAGGTAGGCAGTTATCTATTTTCCAAGGTGTTTTAAGGAGACTGCTGGAGTTGAAGGGCTGCAAATACTTCCAGACTGCAAAATGGTGAGCACTGCTGCGAGAAATCTTGTGAAAATTTATGAACAGCTATTCAGATATTTTAATAGCTCTGGCATAAGATTCAGATAGCAGTCATAAACGCCCATTTTATTTTATTGTAGTACTGATCAATTCTAACACTTCCTGTCTCAGTGCATCTTCTTTAAAAACAGCCCCCTGAAAAAACACAGCCCCTGGAATAAACTTTTGTTTATCTTTCAACAGCTGTCTAAAATCCTCATTGAATAACACTTTGCTATGCTGTATCTAATTGAAGACCAGATGCCGTTGAACTTAAGTCATCAATACTCCATACAAGTACAGGCATCTGCTTGCATAAAAAAAAGAAAAACTTGCTTTATCGGCTCCTTACCTTCGAGCTCTTTGGAGCAGGACCAGTCTCATCTGCGAGGTGCATTACAAGTGTAGGGAGTTGTAAAAAGAAACCTCATTTCTTGATTGCCATTTTCCTCGTGACAGAGAGGATAAGTTGTAAAATTTTTATTGCAAAATATTAAAATAAATTACATTTTACAAAGACTTAGCAAATATTTACATACAGTGTGATTCCAGTGACAATCAGCAACAAAGAACAGACAGACAGGCATATTATGGAGTGATAAGAGTCAGAACTGTACAAACTTCAAAAGCCGTATGAAAGACAAGCTAATTTTTTAAAAGGTAAATCCATCACAAATGGAATGAATCCCATGAGGCACAAAAATTACGAGTCTACAACAGTTCTTGGGGTGTTTTGCTTAGGTCAACAAACTTATATATTGCTTTTGGTCTCTTCATCAGTGACGCTTGTCTGCCTCTACACATACTCTTCCAGATCAACTGGAGGGAAAAAAAACCTCAACATATACAATTGTGTCACCATGGATATGTTATCAGTCTATGGTTTTATTTATGCATGTTTTGTGACATCCATTGCCAGCAACAGATTCACAAATCAGAAAAATTTAACACACCGCTTTTTGTATTTCCTCAGTGATTTCGTCGTACCAGTGTATCAGATGTGTTAAGACTGCCTGCTGTGAGATAAGTATCTGAAAATGATGCCCTTCTGGTAAAAATCGGCTTCAATAGCACAAGACAAAACCAAGAAGTGTCACAATGATGTCATGAAGGGTGGGGTCATATAGTCTATAGCACTTTAAAAGGGCTTTTGTAGGACAGACTTTTCTTGTCACATTTCAGGATTTTTCAATTTTTTTAAAAATTTTTTTAAAGTATTGGCTCATCTTGGCAAAATTAGTAAGTAGTTTAGTATTGTGAAAGTGGACCCATGCTTCACATGATGTGACTGGAAACACAATCTAGTTGTAGGCAATAGCTAGAAAGAAGAGTTTCCACTTTCATTCCATCCCTTCCTTATATGTGCTTTTAAGCTTTTTTTCCCCTCCCCTCCTTTTTTAAAAATCCCCTTTCCTCTCTTTCCAGGAAGAGATCTGTCTCACCTATAAAACTAATTCCATAGCATTAAGAGAGCTGTTAACATTATTGGTTAGCCAAATGGAGTCTTACATGGCATCCAAAGAAAATGTTTCCAGATTGACCAGATAATTGAAATAACTACAAGACCTTACCAAGCAGCACTGGGAAATTCACTCAGAGGCACTTTTGGGGCTGAATAGCTCAAAATCCAGCCTGGACACCCCTCTAACTAACTACTGGTAAATCTGAAGGCAGAAAGACAATTTAGATCCCCCAGGCAGCTGCTTTTCTCAAGACACGGAAGACAGGCAGGCAAAAAGCTGTCTTGCTTAGCACTTCGGCAGTTCTGAGGTGGCACCATAATTTTAAAAACCCTGGGAAATGGTTCAACTTTTTGGAGAGAGCCAGTATGAAAGCTACATGCCAACTAAACCCCTCCAAAACACTAAAAACAAGTAGGGCTTAACGAGACCAATTGTGTTGGCCCCTGTGTAAAGAGGAATTTTTTCCCAGTGTTAGGATTACATTAAGGCACATGGTGGGATGTCTTGAGAACAGTTTTGTGAGGTGTGATCATGTTTCCCAAAAAAGCGGGAATATTGTACTTTGTTTTAATAAATTTAATCTATTACTTTAAATCCCATGATAGTTCTTATGCAGACTTATAGTCTATGCTGACTACACTGGGAAAGGCCAGAGAGCCACATCTAACTTGATAATATGAAACAGATCCCATCCATTCCCAGCTCTGGCGTACAAGTGCACTTCGCTACGGAGAACAGAGTCTGGGTTCCAGTGTGCAACATCCCCTCCCAATCAAAGCAGCCCAGCCAAGTGTCTGGGTTGTATTATTTCTGTATTAAAGAGAAATTTATCTTTTTTTTTAAATGAAGATTGGACTATGCTTTTCCATTTCATGCACTTTCAGCAAGCCTCTTCTCTCCTCACTGTCCTGTAGCTTTCTAACTGTCACTAAAACTTTGATCTTTGCATCAATAATGGAAGACAAGTTGGAGGACAACAAAAGCTATATGGAGTGCTTTCTCATTTTCTTTTAAGCTAATGTGCACTTTTTCAAACAAAAAAATAAAAGAGAAGGCTAGACTTGCTACACAAGCATCCTGTGTATCATGCATGTAGTCTTACCTACCATTTCTTACAGTTACAAGGTATAGCTGTCAACCACAACCCTTCAGATACACAGAAATACTTGAAGGGCTTGGAGTCATTTTAAAACGATGAGGGTGGGGGTGTCTATTAGAAGTAAATCAGAACCTTCTCGATAGGGCCTCTCCCTCTTTCCTGACAGATAGAAGACAAATTCATCCAGCCACCCCTGCTCCAAATAGCAGTAATATAATAAAATATGATTTCAAATTAGAATCTCTCTTCAGCGATACTATCATACAATACAGATTAACTACCAAATCCAATGATGTCGATTCCACATTTTTGCCAGTAAAACAGAGTTGGCCCTGGTCTTGTGTTCACACTCTATTTGAAAAAATGTCATATACGTGGAAAATTCTGAAAAGAAATGAGCAAAGACAGTCCCTTGTTTCACAGTAGATGACTTCAAAACTTCCCATCAACAGGCTATCCAACCAGAGTGCCAGTTTCCCATATGTCCTCCTTCTGTGGAAGAGGCCAGCAATTGAAGCTGCAGCCAATATTTGCAGTTATTAGAAATATCTAGTAATTCAAGATTAGCATTGCAAGATTCCATAAGCTCTTCTTACAGAGCTAGTGAGTCTGCCAGCATTACACCGAAAACGAGAATGAGACAACTTTTAACTGTTCACTGAACTTTGGAAACTTTTGGACATACTGGAATGACTTAAATACTGTAAAATTAAACAGAACAACAGAACTTGACATGTTAAGGTTCAAAGGTCTTGGCTATTTTCTGTTCCAAGTATATTGGATACAACTGAAGTCAGTACCTTTTGCCAACATGTAATCAAGAGCCTCATTTGAAAGAGTTGTCAGGGTTAACGCATAGATATGGAAAAAGAAAGAAAGAAAAATAAAACCATGATATAATTTTCTTTGTAACCAAAACAATTTGGGCATAAACGTTATGAAGAGACATACTTCCTTCTCAATGAGAAGCGCATCTCCAAGCCAAAAGATAATACTTTCAGGAGCTTAGAGCCAAAGTTCCTTTTAAGAAGTGCCTTATGGCCTTAAGTCACTTGATCACATCTCAGTTTGCCCAAGATTTGCCATTGCCCAGCCTTCTTCAAAATGGGATAGAATAACCATTGTATATGCACATAGGTCATACTTTAAAACAAAACAAATAAGCAAAGTGTAATCAACTGTTTAAAAAAATCATCTCTCATTCAAGTCTAGTCTGAAGTACCAAGGCAGGGAGGAACATCAAATAACAATACTGACTAACACGCTGCACAGATCAGCAGCAGTGCTTACAGGTCCCTTCTGACAGGCATCAGGAAAATATCTGTGCCTCCCAAGGTGATTTTTTCCTCAGAAGAGCAGTGTCAATAAAACTTCACCTGTACATACATACTGTATAAGGTTCATTCAAGTATTTCCTCTGGGAAATGGACAGTGGAAGGACACTTTCAACACTAAAAAAAGTTCATTGCATCCTGCTTGTGCTCATACATGCTTTGATCAATAGGTCTTCCAGTCACTTTACTCTTTAACAGTTCTGGGGCTGACGTGCAGTTTAGCAGCGCAGTTGGTAAGCTTCATCCCAGATGATTCTTCCTTGTTAGAGGGCTCCTTCTCAATCCATTCCTTTGGAATTTTTTTTTTTTTTTTAATTTTTTTTTATTAAATTATCATTCACTATAATTTGACAAGCACTGACATATTCTAGACAGATGTTTCAGATGCTTCCTCCTCAGTCTGCCAGCGCACCTCAGCTCAGATCTGTGTGTCCCGGTATTCCATCTAAAGTTTCTCATTAAGAACAACTACTGGTTGCACCATTTTTTTGTGGTAACAACTTGACAATAGGCAACTTAAAAAAAGCAAACCCCTTGCTTTCATTTGTGATCAAAGCAGGATTCAAATCCAGGTTTTCAGAGGTGAAAGGCTAATGGAGTAACCGAACACATTTGATGCCCAAAACAGTCTCTTTGCAACAGTATAGTTACACTCCCAAACTAATTCCTCAATGAAATGCATAAATGCAGAGCAGGTCCAGTGTATTAACTAGTCTCTTCTCTTCTACTTTGTTCAAGAACCACGAAATCCCAAGAAGGAGCAGAATTCCAAATTCAACTGTTATTTTACAAGTTTTTCAGATAAGCAAAGCTGATGGGCTCAGAAACCAACTTAGGATGGGAAAATGACACTGGAGTTTATTAGTTTGGGACTTGCTTTTGTTCTCAAAGAGACAGGAGAAGCTGCAAAAACATGCTTTTCTCCTTGCTCTGTTAATTTGTTCAATATGCACTGACCACTTTCAGAAAACCATTGTCAAACATGCTTCACGTTGCAGCCTTCACATTGCTTACTGTATTATATTCATTCATCAGTTGTTCATAAGGCACAGAAAGTTCTAGCTCGTTATTGGTAAAGGTAGATTCATCAGAGGATGGGAATTTTACCAGTTTTTTTGCAGTTTCAGATTCCTCTGCGAGATTATCATCCATGGAGGATTTTGACGTTTCCTCATCATCTGAGATATCTTCCTCTTCATCATCATCTTCATTTACAAATGTTATATTGGCATTCTCAAATATTAAGGGTCGATAGTCTCTGGAATCCCACACTTCGCCTTCTTCTTCACTAATCCTGTCTAGCTGGTTTACAAACATGGTTCCTTCTAGAGGGCTGTCTCCAATACGTTTATCATGCAGGGGTCTCAGTACATGACCATTTTGAATGTCCAGAGAAGCCTCATCATACTCAAATGACTCTGTCTTTGTGTAAGTCACCTGGGCATCTATACTGGCATTCTGCATATTTTGTTTGGCATTTTCTACTTTAATCATTTTGTCATTGTTTGTCTTCAGGGCCTTCTTCCCAATTTGCTTAATAAGATCATTGTAGGTCTCTTCTTTCTTTGAAAGGAAGCTGAAGATGTTGACATCCTTTGAGGTACCCATTTGAAGGGGTTTTTTAGACCGAGGATGGTTGTCAAATGACTCTTTTCTTTTTTTCCTCCGTTTCTTGATTGCTTTGTGGACTTCCACAAACATACTGACCTTCCAGTTAACAAAGAGTGAAAGCCAAGCTAGTCCCAGATAGATCCATAACTCCACAAAATATCTGTAAAGGGCATGATAGTTTGCATCTGGATTTACACCTACAAAGAATTAAAAACAAGAACATTACTGAAAGAGGACTCGCAGCTGATAAACCTTTGAAGTTATGACCCTGAGAACTACTCCCTTCCACACTAACAGAGCCTAATTGTTTGAGCACTGCCCTGAGAGGTGGTAAGTGGGGATCTGAAACCCTTCTGACAGAAAAAGTTGATCCCAGGTCTTCCACTTCTTGGCTGCATGTATTCTGACCCACTGGACTACAACATAAAATAGAAGCGTATTTACCCTCTCCTTGTAAGCTATAAAAGTGAACTTTTTTCCTCTTTGAAAATCATAAGCCTTCTCCCTGCCAGAGGTATGGATATAGGTACCTTCCTTGAGAAAAGGATTCAGAATTCCACTTACAAGGACCATCTCCAAAGCCCTGAACAAGGCAGTGGATTTTAGAGAAAGACAGGATTTAGGAAAGAGACACCAGTATGCTTAGCATTTCCTGTTGACTAGTTCTAGACAGCTGCACAGAGCGTGCTGCCCAGTACTTATGCGCCCTGCTTAGTATACTAGATCCCATTCAAAGGTCCTTAACTATCATGGTGGATACGATAGCTCCTTGCCTGAAATAGGGACCTGGGGCACCTGAAAGAGTTACAAACTCCAGAACTTGGCTCCAGACTTAGTCCAATAAAAGCCTTGGGTATCTAAACCAAGATTGAAGAGCAAGATCTAGTCCATTGGATCAGCTTTTACTGAATCTTCTATTCAGCGAAACGTTTTGGAAAAGCTTAGAAATCACCTTTTCAAATTAGAGTTTGAAAATTGAATTGCCACACTATGCATGTAGTAAAATATTACATAACATACAATTACTGACCAGCAACAAAATCTCCAAATCCTATGGTGGTGATAGTGATGAATGAGAAATAGAGGCCTTCAATGTAATCCCATCCTTCAGTCACCATAAAGACAAAGGGAGGAATAACCAGATGGACCAAAACACCCCAAACAATGAAAATAGCTGTGCATGTAATTTGTGCTTTCCTCTGTAAAGAAAGAAGAAACAAAAGTCAGGGAAAGATCTCCAAATTTTCTTTTCTCATCCATGGCACCAAGCATCACCTGACAGCATCAGACATTTCAGAGTTTTGTGCTAACAGTTTATCAGCCATAACTAAAAGTCACTGACTGAAGTAAACACACAACTTTTTTTTTCCTTATGCAGAACTCACTATTCTTACAACTATTTGCTCAAACAGGATTATTTCCACAGTTTTCTTTCACACTCTTGAAAAGTTTAAGGAGTTCCTGATATTTTATAAACAGGCATGGGATACAGACATAGCACTCCAGTCTAAAAAGCAGTCAGTACCTCTGACTTTCCTTTTATTCATTTGAGTATAGAGGATCAGAAATGTTTAAGATGTTTCTCTCCTATTTATGCCTCCTACCCTTTGCCACTCATGTAACCTCTGCACAAAGCTGCACACACACATGCATTTCACCATCATTTTCTGTACCTTCTTCTCAGGTGCTGAACCAAGAAATTTCTTGCTCTGTTTCTGAAACCAGGACCTAAACCAGTCCCGCTGTCCTCCAGGCACTATGGCCCTGCATTGCCTCCCATCTCTGTGCAGAGTTAGAAGTGAGATGGAACTCACTTGGGGGAAAAAAAACAAAACAACAAAAAACCCCCCCAAAAACAAACAAACCACCACTCAGAAAACAACGAAAAGCCACAAACAAAAAACCACAAGCCAGTAACTCAGAACAAAACCTTATTTTCCAGTTGGTTCACTGAAGAGCAGGAAGTGCTCATGCTAGCATAGAAGCAGGTGGGAACAAAGCAGAACAGCTTATTTCTGTGCCAGAGGAGCTTGCATGGAATGTCTGTGAAATGAAGCCTCACCTACATTTGTCCTACAGTCTTCTAATGTAAGGAGATGCATATGTCTCCATAGAAGCTGCAAGATCTATATTTAGTATCAAAGGTTTCTACAAGACCTCGTTTTGCTAAAACTTCTTGCAGAACTAACATATCAGACTCAACCCCCCTTTCAGTTATTTCTGTGCAACACCATTGGGGAAAATTCGTATTTGTGCAAGTGTTCGTTTACTACCAAGATTAGCAGGTAAGTTAAGAAGCGTAAGCTTAATTCACGCATCAAAAATACACAGCGCGGGGGTAAACAAGAGAGGGCCTTACCAGGCTTACTCCTCTTTTCGTCAGAAACTGGCCCAGCCTCTTGGCACGTCCTCCAAAGAACTTCCCCAGAGCACTGATCCACGTCAAGCAGAGAGGAACTCCAAAGAGCCCATAAAATATGCAGAAGAGACGCCCAGAGGGTGTCTTTGGAGAAACATTTCCGTAACCTAAAAGAGATAAGTATGCACACGGTCTGTTCTTGTTGCAGAGAATTCAAGGCAATTCTACCTATGCACAAAACAACACTGCGTGGGCTTCTGCTGTATCAGATGCTCCTTACTTCACCATTTATAAGAGCTTTAGTCTACTCCAGCTGCTGATCTTCTGAATCTGGATACCTTCCAATTTTACTCTAGCAAACGTGTATTCCATTAATGCAGGCTGAGAGGACTACTGCATTTTAAGCGTTTCCTGGATTTTGTGCATCTTTTTCTTGACAAGTTGAGAGAAATATGAAATAAAGCTCATCTCAAAACTTCTAATATGATTCCCCAACCTTAAGCAGCACTGTTAAAGGCTTGATTGAATCAATTTTACAGAATAAAAGCTCAAAATTCATCCTGAAGCTAGCTTCCATGTGAAAGATCCTCTTTCCAGGGTAAGAGTTTGCGAGTTAAGTGCAAGGTGAGTTGTGACATAGCAAAGTACTTCAACTGCATTTAGTTCTTTGCTGGTCACAGAACCTAACAGGGCATTACAAACTCAGGCTCTTAAATCAGCAGCCTATTTTCTGAACTTCTGCCAGAGCTTTCTTATTTAGGTGTGTTCCTGACTTCAACTTTTTGTCATAAGTTATATTATAAGCTGGGTATTGTGCGTTTCAAATAATAAAAGAAAACCACAGTATTGCATATGGTTTAACAGTAAAACTTCCGTTTCTGTATACCTCCAGCCTTCTCTGGTTATTTTGCATTCCTGTTTTTTTTTGCATTGTAGGTGTAAGCAAGGGTGTAGCAACACCATGTAGCAAAGACTCTTCTGTAAAAACAGAAGGCAGATGATGTTGAGCTCTGAAAATTTGTATATCAAAGGAGGAAGAAGTCTTTCAATGCAGAGGGTTTACAAGCACAAATCAGTAGTGAGATTTGGAAGACAGCACTTGCTCTACTTTGCCTTCTTTAAGAGAGAGATAAAAAGTCTAGATTGTTCTGCAAGCCAAGAACACTGATAAATCAGTAGCTTAAGAGGATGCATGCGAGTAACAAGTCAGCTATATAAAAACCTCATATGCACATGCTTTAAGTATTAGTTTAATGGAATGTTTTGTAATGCTTTTGTTTTGGGATTTTATGATTTGGAAATGTAAGTGCACGAATTAATGGAACTTGAATGACACCAGTCATCCCCAACAGCACCTTGAATCCGTTACTTATTGGAAAGACACATGTTTCTCTTCTGTATACCCATGGAGAGAGTGCCAAAATCCTGGTTTTTTCCTCTATGACCCCACAGGTGAACATGTGCTGTAGCAACTCCAGCCATTGGGACTTTATTCAGTGGCTAGCCTGACACACAAATGGAAGAATACAAACATACTAGAGCATACAGAAAACCACAGTTAGGAAAGTTGATATAATAAATACTTACCGATTGTAGTGATCACAGTAGCAGCAAAGATCACAGCGTTAGGCCAATTCCAGTTGTTGAAAGTATTGTTCCCAGTGATGGCAACCCCCTGTCCAGCAGCATTTGACACAACCTGTAAGAAAACAGTTTACAGTCATTCTTGGAAGATCCTGGCAGAAAAAGAAATGCATCTGTCCCTCTCAGGTTTCCCACCTTTGTTCATACTTTCAAAATAATCACTCAAGTTTTTGTAAAGGCTAGCCTAGTATATTTGCTAACAATAATTTTATGAAATATTAAAAACTTGCTTCACCTAAGAAAAAGTAGTGCAGGTGCTCTGACATTTAAATTGGGGGTTTTAATTACATAAGCTTTTACTTGATTTACCAGTTTAACCCAAATGGCTCTCTTTCAGAGACCAAACACACTCCTCCAGACTGAACTAACATTTAACCTCCAGCGCAGTTCTTGAATTTGGTTTAATATTAGGGACATCTTCAGAACTACTATCCATTTCAAAACACTGCTACATGCCTCAGCTTGATTTGGGTATGAGCAGGACGTCATAGAATCCTTGGCAAAGCTAGTGCGATTAACGTTACTTCACCTGCTGTCCCTGGCAAAGTCAAACCATCTACAAGCCAACGTAAAACTGTACTTTCCAGCAAAGACAGACAAATCAAAACTTTTCCAAAGTATTTCATACAACAGCACTCTAATCATTGTCCTTGAATCAGGCCCCTTTCTTATCCCATCTTTGAATCTAATATGCCATGATGAATGCAAAGCACTCGTTTACAATGTTTTAGGGAAGCAAGTGTAGTTGTTGGCACTTCCACAGATTCAGCACGCCAATTTTTTAACATCTGTTCAGGTCTTCAGGTGCTCAAGAATTATTAACCATCTTCACCTTTTGTAGGAAGGGACTTGGAAGACCAAGCCTCCCCCGCCTTTCCAAAACTAGACTGTAGAAAATGCATTGTGACTATTTAGTGCAGAAAGTCAAAGTTTCAGATCAAAATCATGTATCTTGCCGATTCTGACATGTATTTCTACCTCCCTGAAGTAAAAGAGAATAATGATTTAACGTATTCTCTCCTAGAGATCCCTAGTTACTTAAATCTTTGCTCTGTCACGTCATGCTGCAGTTAAAGCCTTCTCAGGTTACTCTGTTTTTTTCCCCTTCAGTGTAAACCAAGGTTATCTGAACAAAACTCTAAGGCTACATCCACATACAGGAGAGGTGAAGGTATCTCCAAAAGTTGATTTGTAACATTATCCTACTTTCTGTGTTTCTCCCTCAGTAAGTGTTGAACACAGAAAAATATCTTGAGCTAAATACCTAAAATTGGAGGCAATATACCTTTTTTTCCATAAACTTGACAGGTGAGGTTTATCTTAAACTGTTAAGAACTTACAGAGGTACCTACAACCAACTCTTCCTTCCCTTGCCACCCCTTCCTTCCTTCCTACTTGATTAAGATCTGATCTTGGACCCAGCAGAGACTCAACACAAAGTTCAATCGCTACTGAAAACATACACAAGTTAATACAGGTTTTAATTATTCTTGAGACTTATTACATATCACCACCCTCCTACTGTAATAAAAATGCCCTCAAAGTGAATGTATTGTGCCTATACAAGATGCAAACAATTTAATTAAAAATGCACTTTCAACACACAAGCTATTACAGAAGATAAAAGGATAGGCATTGAAAGTGAATGAAGGTACAGAACTAGATTTTTCTCCTGGTAAACTCAATGTGTGTGCAAAACTGCAGGCAGTGTCTTTCCATAGCCTACAGGCTCTGGATAGAAAAGGATATAGAGAGAGTTCTCACCAAGGCAGTCATCTGTCATAAGAAAGTAATGTTGAAATCAGAAGTAGCCCTAAAATGGGCAGGTTGAGAGCAGGCAAGTAAACACACAATGAATGCCACCCCCTTCCAAAAAAAAAAAAATATTTGAGGCAGCTACAATGGATCACAAGAGTTCATCTGAGTAGAGACCAAAGTAACTTCATTCATTTCTGCTATGGTCTGCAGATGAACTTCCTAAAAGTCCCAAAGGACATCCAAAGTACCCGATAGATACAATCTGTGACCTATTATCCCTGAAAAAGATGCTGTGACTTCTGCTGCTGCCCAGCAACAGTGCACTAAATGTTATATCAAATACCAGTTCTTCAGTCATTTTCCATGCTATAAGTGCACTTGGAATTTCTTTTTTTAATTGTTATTTCCTCACAGAGCAACTGATCTCATAGAGGTGCACTGAAGTATCTGTTTCCATTGTCACTGGGCCGTGATCTCATTGCATTACTCCACCTTCAGTCTGAGCTAATGAGGTCAGTTTCTCAGTAAGTACAGTTACTTTAAGATCCGCAAGCGTTTGAGTTCTGGAGGTGTGAAGGGGGCCCAGACCCAAGGGGAAGAAGCTGCTGGACTGAGTAGCACACAGCTGCCCTTCACACTCAGGCAGTTAACATTTTGGGGGAAAGATGGCCAGCTCTCTGAGTTATATAAACACTTTACATAGAGCACTACACATACTCTCCAGCCAAAGCTGCCACTCTCTTCCTGTCCTTATTTGCCCAGAGCTATCTGCTATTAGCGCACAATTATCTACAATCTATAGTCTAGTCTTTTAAGTTACTTTATGCCTACAATAAGCCTGAAATGTGCATTGCTGCAACCCAGCTGCAGGAACAAAGTTGGTCACAAACATGCTTAGATAGCTTTGGTGCAGTGGGAAATACATAGCTGCTTTCCAAGCAGCATAACTCTTGCCCATACTGAAATAATTAAATATTTTGGCTTCAACAAACAATGTGAGTGGACACTATACAACTGAACAGCAAATATGTTTTTTTGCTTGGTAAATCTGTTAGGCAATGTCAGAGAGGCCTTTATTTTCATATGCTAGGATACAGAATACCCCAGGTTGCCTGTGCTGGATTTCTTAAACCACAGAAAATTTGCTCTAAAAAGCCTTTGGATGGGAAAATAGGAGGCAAGTAGGGAGAGGAAGAAGAGGGTAGATGGTGCAAGTGTTCTTAATATCTTGAAAGATGTCATTTAGAAAATACCTTTTCAAGTATGCCCAAATTCAAAAGCTGAAAATAGTTAACTAACTCGGAATTTACACATCCCCTTAGACCCCACATGACAGTTTGTACTGATAAAGGCAGGACTTTATTTTCAGTCAAATGACTTTTGCCTCACAGGAATCAAACCTCCTCTTGTCCCTCACTCCCCACCATCCCAATTCTGCACTTTGGCAAATGAAAAAGGAAAATAAAACCTAGAGTCCCTGGAGCTATTGCTGAAAGTAAACAGACTTGCAATTGCAAAGGGAGATTTAAGACACACATAAAACGAATACATCTTCTGATGACATTAACACAAGTAGAAACGGGGATGCCATTTGAACATAATCAAGCAGACAATTTGCTCCATTTGCAGGTACTTCCCCACAGACAGACCTCAGCACCGCTCCAATACAACCTTGTGTTTCCTGGCCTTGGTGACATTTTTATTAATCCTCTCATGACCAGGTTCACTCAACATTTACCAGATATCACAAGAACTAGTTGTTAAAATCTCCTCTGTCTTGGGCAAAGGATAGGAGTTTCTCTCCGATGCTTTGGGCACATGCCACTTGCATCCCCCCTATATGACTAACAGTAGAGCTGACAAGTTCTTGAAACAAATTTGAAAATAGCAAGGAGAAGCCTTGACCCACATAGGTATTATGGATATGTTCCTACTTCTCTTACTCTACTTCTCCATTTTCTGCTGGGGGCAAGCCCGGAACAGCAGCAAGGTTTTCCCAAACTGGGAAGCCACATACTAATGCATTTATTCAAATTGTTTTTTTCTACTGGCCTGTCAAGGTTTGCTAGGGCAAGTCTCTATGGTGGCTTAAAAGCTTGCAATAGCCATCTTAGCTGTCCTTGTCTTTGTATTAGCAGGAGGGATGGTCAGGTTTGAAATTTGATCAATATCACTGCAAGGTAAAATGGTTCACAACAGAATGACATTTAGTCCCTTGTAGAAGTAATGTGAGGGTATAAAACTAAGGGAACAAGCACATTGGAGACTAAGTATGTTGAATATGCCATTTTACTTTGGCTTCTTGGCCTTCAAAAGAAGGAAAAACGGGACAGAACTATCACCTTCTGCCTCTGTAAGCATGAACAAGTGCACAACGCTTTATTTTCTTTCTAGGAAAAGAAGAAAATATTCTTTTACACCGTCCCTTCAGGTACTTATATACATTGATGAGATCCCCCTGAGCCTTCTCTTTTCCAGGCTGAACAGTTCCAGCTCTCTCAACCTTTCCTCATAGGAGGACTGGAGCATCCTCCAGTCCCTTGATCATCTTAGTGACTCTTTGCTGGACTCCCTCCAGCATGCCCCATGTCTCTCTCGTATTGGGGAGTGCAGAACTGGACACAGTACTCCAGGTGTGGCCTCAGCAGTGCAGAGTAGAGGGGAAGGATCACCTCCCTTGACCTGCTGGCAATACTTTGCCTAATGCAGCCCAGGATACCTTTAGCCACCTTTGCTGCAAGGGCACATTGTTGGCTCATGCTCAACTTGATGTCCACCAGGACCCCCGGGTCCTTTCCTGCAAAGCTGCTTTCCAGCTGGGGGGGGCCCAGCATGTATTGGTGTATGGATCCACATGAGATTACTGATGTTATTCTAAGAATTAAGGGCTGCAAGAAAGCTGTGATACAGGTTTTGCGTATCAAGTAGGAATAATTTCATATCTGGCATGAAATCCTAGATGCTTTAATAAGGATTAGTTGGGACTGATAGCAATGAGCAATAGGAAAGAAAAAGGACTTCTGGGGTACTTACAGCCAGATAGACAGTTAGGCCAGACTAAAGACACAAGACAATAAACAGGCTATATAATACTAGAGCAACAGATCCTGCCCCACAGGCACCCTATTACATACAGGAAGAACAGCCAGATATTGCTCAGTGCCAGGTCTCTTTTGAAGAGGATAAAGCGTCCCATGTTATTCAAAGCATTCCTTGGAGATGTGACACATAAGTCTAATGGTAGTTTTAAGCTTCACCCAGTGGTATGAACAATTCTCTTCTGCAAATGCTAAGTGTTTCTCC